TAATTGTGATTGTTCTAGAATCGGGTATAAATCTATAAAATCCCGCATTGTCTTTCGTGTCGTGATAAGGCATTATGTATCATGTACTAAAAATAAATACGCAAAAGATAACCGAATCTACATTTGTCCTGAACTTTTCACCGATAATATAGAAAGAAAATACTTCCGTTTTGCACTTAAACGACGACTTTACAACAAGATGATCTGTTCACTAAAAAAGGTAATAGTTTTGGGGCGGCCTGGAGGGGGGGCACTTCCTTATAAAGAGGCTAATGGAGATATGCCGCTGGATGGGGTCGCATTTTCACGACTGTATTGACGGGGTTGCATTTTCAAAAGAGTTACTAGAATAGGGTCGCACATTTTCGGATTTTTGGGGTAAGAGAGCTGTTCATATTTACGGTTAGCAAACGTATCAGGATATTTGTACTGTAGGTGAAAAGTAAAGTGTTCTTCATTCAATTTATTAAAAAATGGGTCAATTCATTTTTTGATGACCTATTTAACGGATTGATAAGGTAGATACATAAATAGAAAGTGACTAAGTTGGGATCGCAAAAATTACATATTTGCCCAAGAGTGACTAATATGGGGTCTACAACTGGCCACAGGAAAGACTATAATGGGGTAGGGGCTCTGAGAGGCCAGCGGCACATACCCAGCAAAAATTAACGCAAGTAACCCCCCGGGGGCGCCGCGGTTTCGTTGAAATCATAACAGTTTTCCTGGAAAGCTCCACGGGGTCTCAGTCAATCTTAATAAGCGAATTTTCTTTTCAACCTAAATCAAAATGATTAGTAATCACGAGCCGTTAGACGAGTGAAATTTGAGACAATTTTGAAATATCACGAGTGGTATTTATACCAAATATCACGTACAAGTCATGCTATTAATTGTTTATGTTACTACCCACAAAAGGTTTGTAATTTTCACATGTAAATATTTCAAATTAAGCTGAAATACCACTGCTCTGAGCCAATCAAATTGCAGAAATTTCCTGTTGTAGTATAAGGCTTGTAATAGGGCCGTGATCATCCTTTCGCGATTAAAAATCAACTGAAACAGCACAGAAAGGACTACAGTAGCATTTTTCATTTTGTCAACAGTAATAATTTAGTATTTAAATACTTGACCACTCTTTTCTTCATGCAGATATTACGGGTGTAATCTGGGCGCTATTAATGCCATCAGTGTAAGGGATACTGCAATGAATATAAGCTTCACTTTGACTAAGTGGTACAAATATTATTCATAGACCCAATTATTTCGTTACACGAGAATTTACGTTTATAAACGGATCGTGTGACATTTTATTTTCGATGAGTTTGTTTTCTGTCTCAGAAATGATGCTGTCGAGTCACGTGGCTCAGACCAGCTTTTAAAGCTAGGAATTGTGAGTCCAACTCCCAAGGGAATATTTGGAAATCAGACTCACTTTGGCTTTGAGAGTTATTGGGTGGGTCCTTCAATCTGACCAAGTTTCATCCAAATCGGGGAGATAGCTTGTGTCACGCCTGCCTGGTCCTCTCATGGACACAGTCATAAGCACTCCACCGTAACTCAGTGAGAAATCCGTAAAAAAAGGAAATTGCGAGCCCGTATACCTATTATTTCCCATTTATTCCTATACCTGTACTGCTGGTAGAGGGCATGATTCATTTGTTTTTCATATGTCATGTAAAAATACCGGAATCTAGATACCTATTAAACAATATGTTCTGATTGGCTCAGTAAAGATTAGGTTTGATGTTCTTCTCACGGGATTTGCATTCTTCCAATGGTGTTTGAATGAAACATCTTGTTAGTGGACACACGTTTCCTCGTTTAAGTTTTATTTTTTTGTTTGTTTGGTTTTTTACGTTTTTCTGGTCGATAATGATGTTGAAATGAAGCCTAGCAGATAATGCTTAATCACAAACAGAAACTTACTAGTCTTTCGGGGAAGCGACATCTTAACATAGGCGTTGTTTTCATTTCTCCACGTTCAAAGTTATTTAGCGGCAGAGTGGAAATCCGATTTCAGCCACAATTATGACAGGTCGAGCAGATGAAAATTTGAAAATTTGCTTCATCCAATCAGTAAGCACTACCCAGATCTGGGTAGTAACGCTTCATCAGCATGGAACTGATTTTTGCGGTCTTTCATAAGACGTCATTTTGCGAGGAAACTAGTGGTGGCGTCTCGTGGCGTGGCTGTTTCCTCAGGCTAGGCCACCGAGCTACCTGCCACAAAGCCGACGGTACAGTCTGGGATACTGTTCCGACAAATAGCTACTTCGAGCAAGGTTGACGGAGAAAAGCGCAATTAAGTGTACGTGACAATCCCGAAAGGTAATCTGGGATATGGTCAACGAGTTTTAATAAGTCAAATAAATAAATACATGAAACCGGCGATGCCTAATACGTGCGGTGAAGATCTTATAAGGCCGGGCATCTGAAAGACAAAGTTTTTGGACTGTGAAATTTGGACGATTATTGAAGAGCTTATAAACCTAAACATATACGTCGAAGTCAACTTTTTGGAAAACACAATTTAAAAATAGTCTCAAGATTTTACTTGCAAAATGGATAAAGGAAAGACTGGATAGGAAACTTATGTCACGTGGGCTGATTTCTTATTTACGATTGGTTGTTTCGTGTTCCACGGTTCCATCATAGTGTATAAAATATCAGCAAGTCCACAGCAACAAATCAATGAGTGGTGCCGGATCTTCCAGCTATAGACCTGGATCAGTACAATTAAACTTGTCGAAAAATATGAAACGGCAAACTGATCTTTAAGGTATCATCCACCCTCAAGCACCCTCCTCGCGTTGATCGGCGCTAGCGCTTTTGCTTTTAACAAATACCCCCATAAACCGAACATTTTCTGAAAGCTTTATAGTTCCAGATTATTGCTTATTTCTTTTCAAAAATCAAAATGTTAACGCGATTTAGAAATGAGAAGCTTTTTGTGAAAGTGGGTGTCACTGTAAATTTAAGTCCAGTCCAGCCAAAAATTAACGGAAGAAGCCAATTAAGAATGCATTCGCTTCTTAACACGTTTGACTAAAAAACCGTGTCTCAGATTTTTGTCAAGTGCGTTTGTTCTGTTGTTATAAGCGGGTGAAGTTAGGGATAGCAAATCATGAGCACTACCTGTGAAAAAAATACTCTAACTCAACGAAAAAAGACATCAAAATTCGCAGACACGGTTTTTTAGAAAAACTATCTGACAGTAAGATGGCCAAATTTCAGCCAAATTGGTTTACGGGTTGCCGACTTGGAGTTTCAAACGCACCCTCAACTTGCCCTGATTTTCATTTCGAGAAAACAGTGGAAAAAGATTTTTGGCTGCGTATTACCCGTGATGAGATTGTACATTGTCTGTGCCATCCTTCAAACTGTTTTGACACGCTTGTACGGTAATTCAACATCCCAGTTTTTTGACCTAAATCCACCTTCTCTAGAGAATTATTTTTCCTAATCATTCTGTTTTGTAACCTCCCAAAACATAAGACCTAAAAACTGTTCTACGTTTATATGGGAAGAAGATGATACCAAGAAAAGTAAATCAATGTGAAATAAAATTAAACACAACGAATAACTTGGCTTTATTATGGCTGTCAGCATCAATATTAATCCAATCATGAAAAATGTAAATTTTTAACCTTCTAAAAACGTCGAAATAAACTGTCCAAACTCCAATCATTAAACATCTAACACGGTTACAGTTCTGATTGTCTTTCGCCGGATTGAAGTCCAGGCCAGCTTAGTTAAAGTTTATATAACAACAAAGTAAACCGAGACCTGAAGCCAGGCGGGGGGGGGGGGGGGGTTGGGGAAGCGTGGTGGTCAGCGGATAATTACAGTATTTTTCCCACTGCAGTAAATATTTTTAGACTTTTTAGAAGCAAGAAGCGAACCGGCAGAGGAAATCAGAAATGCTTATAAAATTGAAAAAAATAATATCATGCATCTTTGTTTTTCTTGCATATCGTATTTGTCTTTCGGTACTGAAATGCGGGGGAAACTAAAACGCAACCGTGCTAGATTCTTAACCAACAACAACGCGCTCGATGGATTTAATTATTTGTAGGTTACATCGTTTTCGCAGGGCAAGGATAACTTGATGCTGATAAAAACTACTGGAGCAAGTGCCAAATTTGTCGGAAGCAAGTATATTCAAGAGAGCTTTATAAATATGAGCTTACTGCTCTACATATCATAACTGAATAAAAATTAACACTTCATAACGTTTCACTTCGTTTATTTCGATCAGTCAACACCTTGGATCCAAAGTTAAAATTCAAAAAGATCCTAAAACAAATCACAACTACTACTGAAAGCTCCGTACCTTGAAGCGACTTTAACTTTCCTAAGGTTTGCAGCAAAACACTGCTCGATAGCTCAACTCTTCGGCGGTTCTTATCAGCTGTACGGAGCTATATGTTGGATATTCCAAACTCTGCAAAGGGAAATTGTTTAACAGCAAAAGAAAACCACACACTATGTCTGAAAAGCGACATAGAATCAATAAATTTGTGAATTACCAAAATATAATAGTGAGAAACAGTCCCGCCTTCGACTGCCATGTTTTTGTTTTTTCTCAAGACCGTTGATCTATGGTTTGACGTAATGCGCTTGATCAGTACACAAATCCGCTGGCAAGCCTCTTGCTGATCGCTTTGCAAGTTGTGAGAACATCGTTTGGATTTCATTTAAGAGAATGTATGGGAAGTAGCTTTCCCCCCCCCCTGCCTGAAGCACCCCGAGGAATTTAAAAAGAACCGAGTTTGTTTATTTCGGAACTAGTGTTTCAATAATCTTCATCATTGCTGTGGTTTGTTGTGTTGTTTTGCTGTTATTCCTGTTGTTGTTTTAACATTTGGTTGAACATATAAGTTTGCTGATTTTGGGCTACAGCCATCTTCTCTTGCTCCTGTTTTCTCAAATCCAATTCTTGCTTCTTAATATCCATGTCTTGCTCCGCCTTTAGTTTAAGAAACTCTACCGTTTCACTACCACTTCTTCTGCTTTTCTTCGCTTTTCTCTGCTCCTCCTCGGACTTTCTCTTCTGTGTTTTCCCTAATGTCGGTCTCCATAGCAGTTCTGCGCATCTCTTCTGCTTTCAGCCTGTCTCCTTCCATCTTGTCCCCTTTTCGCTGCTCATCGGCAGACTCTTCCATGGCAATAATTTGTTCTATAGCTTCATCTAATTCAGTTTTCGTAGGGCTTATACCACCTTCCTTCAATTCCTTGGCCTCTTTTCATTTAAATCTTTGCACTAAAACCCCGATATGGTCTCGAACTGAGCGTTTATCTACAAAAAAAAAACAGGATCTTTAATGCTGTTTAGGGTATCCGCCACTCTTTGCCACAAGGCACTTCGCTGAACGGATTTCTTCTTTGCACTGAATGGGTTTACAAAGATTATTTCTCGGCAAAAAACCTCATCATGTTCCTCCGTCCAGTTCATAATCCTGCCGACAAAATAAGCGACATATATATCTTTTTGATATACGTGCACAGCTACAAGAAAATTAAAGCAAACCTTGAATGTTGCACTATATGCGAAAATCACTTCTAGAAAATAATTTGAATCTATCATTTACAGACGTCGGCTGGCCAAGCCAAGTGTGTGTACAGTTGTAAACCCGCTACTCTGTAGGAACTGCTTAATAAAGCAAACATTTTGCCGTCAGAGGCACTTATTTGGCAAACATAGTCGTTTACATGTTTCTGTTAACTTGTTTTGTTGTCTTTTCTTTAAAATCTCACACAGTTTCTGCGGGAAATAGTGTGTGAATTAAATTCCCGCAAAATGAAGTGTAGTGCGAGTAACCAAGATCTGTAAATAAATTTTAAAATGCTGGGAAAATCTTCGACAAGAAGGAAATAATCGGGAACAACATTGCTTTTATACAACAAATCGTTTTGTTTCTTCAAGTTTAGCCGTAATTCACTGAACGAAGAATGCAAAAATCTACTCACTGCGGTTTGGAATTCGAGGCCATGGCAACTGATGTTTCTTGCGTTTACTGTCCACAAGTTCGACTGAGCCCGAAAGGAAACGACAACAAAAAAAACATGAGGAATGTAGCCGGGATAATTAAGCTTTTGATATACAAACAAAAAGTGCCAATTCACTGTCTTAAATAAGTCAAAATAGGTTGAAATACTTACAGTTTGTCAACAACGTCTAAATGGTCTTCAGCGCGTTCGTCTTGAGCAAGGACTCGGCTTGTTTACGTCACGATCATGCGCAGTGGTAGTCATTTTGGGTATTTTTACTTCCGGTCGGCTTTCGTCACGTCCGCCTCGTTGTATCTTTAAGTCCCTAGTGTTTTGTCTTGACGGGTGTTAAGGAAATGGCGGCAAGCTTCAATGCATTTGCTGTGAGTAATGTTACTGTATAGTGAAGAGACATCAAGGGTGACAAGAATGGCGTTGTCCGGTAGTGATCCCATTTGTTTACGTTGAAGAAGAACGTGTGTAGTATCTTTGATGTAAGAGGGAAGGGACTGTACGAGGGATTTGAGGTGGTAGTCGACAAATTCAGAAATTTGCCCTGTAGGATGGCCATTGCTAGGAAAGATAGGGCGTCCGGGGTTGCCTTGTTTGTGGATTTTAGGGAGGATGTAGAAGCGACCAGCCTTGGGATTAGAGTTGGAAGTAAGGTATTCGAATCTATCATCGTCGATTAAGTCATCTTTGTGTGGGTGGTTAAGGTATTCTTTGACACGTTCCTGTTTTTTATTCCTCAGATTAGTAGATTGTTTCTGGTAGTAATTAGGGTCGTAGAGTTGTCTGTAGCATTCGTTGATGTACCAAGAATAATCCGTTATTACGGTTCCTGAGCCCTTGTCTGCTCATTAAATACCTTAACGTTTTCGGAGGTTGGTGAGGGCAGTGCGTTCTTCCTTAGATAAGTTGTTTTTATTTAAGAGGGTTTTGAAGACACGATGTCGCGTTCGACGGCGTTGATGTAGGTGTCGAGGGCTGCGTCTCTTCTGCTTGGAGGAGTCCATGTCCCCTTAAATCTAAAACGCGGAACTTCATTGGTACGGGCGGCGGGTCATTGTTTTGATGAAAGTATTCTTTGAGGCTCATGCGGCGTGTAAATTCATTGATGTCTGCCTGCACTTCTTTCCAGTTGACACACTTAGGGGTGGGGACAAAGGAAAGTCCACGTGATAATAGTTTAATCTCGGACTCAGAGAGTTGTACAGTAGAGAGATTAATGTCAGTTTCCTCTTGGTTTGGAGAGTTCGTGTTCTTATGTTGGCAGCGGGTTCTTCTGTCGTTCTTATGAACATTATGGGGGTTGATTTCTTGTATTGTAGTAGCGTTATTCCTCTTAGAAGTGGGTAAACATGCTTGCCGAAACACGCAAAGCCTTCAGGTTAAATAACGTTTTTTGACGGAGACGACTGAAGGGAAAGTGATTTAATACCGGACTTGCCACAAGCAGCCCAGTAAAAATATTTTGACCGCAACTATTCAACTTCAGGCTGCTTCGGAATAATGACCAGTTAATTATCGTTACTGTCCGTAACTAATGTGGTGTCATTAAGCGGGTGTCCGTAATGCAGGGTTTGACTGTACCTCAAACTTAATGAAGAAGGCAGTTTCGATTCACCTTGCTTGAAATTTTTGAGACCTACAATTACGTGCCGGTATAACCATTATAGCATTTTCGAATGTAAGGAAAGCACATCATATACGATTTATATTATTTTAGCTCTTCACTGTGTTTGGCAATTATCTCGGGATCACTGTTTTTTAAAACACAAGACGTGGTATATTTCATCTTCGGATATTTTTAGGACGAACCACTCCGGTCAGGACGGGTAATGACATCTATACAGCAAACTTTTTTAATGAGTCAGAAAACATGTGGGAAACAGAATCGGTCATTCCGAGCTAAATGCATCAGCAAAGTTCCCTGTTACAGGTTTTCGATTATCGTTAAATGCTCCTCTTTTTAAAAAAAAATGCATCTGAAGACGGCAAGAGGCACACGTAGGACCATCTACGCGGTCTGTTTGCCACTGCCTGGGGCTATGCCTAACAAAGTAGCACTTTCGGGATGATATAGCTGTATGCATGCCCACTACATTATCTTATACTGACCAGAATACGGGGATGATCACCTTCATTTCCAGGGCACATCCCTACATCAGCTTATCAGCATTTCATTACAATTGATACTAAAAACGTAGTTATTGAACCAGTCGTCACAAATGTTCCTCTAAAGTTGTCTAACATATTTACATACCGCCATAGATACAGTAGACGGCCAAGACCAACGACTGCAATTAAATGAAGACGAGTTAACGAAGAAGAGGCAATCAAACGAAGAAATGTTAATGAAGACGATAACAGGGGAGACAACCGGAAATAAGGTGGCATATGAAGATATTGAGAAGCTTGTTACTCCAAGGGGACTGCAAAACTGTGAAACTAATAGCTTAATATTATCAATGAAGGTACGTACAATTTCAAAAATTACGTTAACTCTAGTTCGGGGGATGGATGCGTGAGAGAAAAACACCTGAGATGCGTGACTGAAGACTAAAGTGATGCTGGTTTAGCTGCTTTTGTCTGAAAAGTGAAGCTGCTAGCAGGGGCATTCCTTTTTCACAAAATACTCGTCCTATCTATGGTCCCTTCACAGGTTTTATCAAGTTAGCAGTTTTGACTTCATTGTGGTTATTTTGAATTTGGCCTTGTAATGGATACTAGGATTGTAGAAATTTTATGACACAAATCAATTCTTTTGCAAGGACTAAAAAATACAATAACATGTCTAAAATGTGATGGCATTTTTTCATACATATATACCTGGATTTTTGAAAACCGGGTTAGCAAAAATATCAACTCATTCTACTACGTGGCAATTTAAAGCAATAAAACTCGTTCAAAGGCCGATTAAAAGCCTTTATCTGACGCCAGGCAGTAAGGTCATGGTCGCTAGAAGCATTCCAACGAGTCCAAATTTAAAATGACGCCAATTTTAGAACATTTATTCAGTAATCTTACATCGCGAAGTTTCAAACCGGTGTCATTTCAGTCTAGAAATTTTTAAGTTGAGTGAACTGCAGCGAAAGAGTGCCTGGCAGGCTTACATAACGACTTAAATAGTTAGCAAAACACTACTTTTTTCGCGGTCCGATAAACAACAGGATTTCGCATGGAATAGACAACAAACTTAATGAAACATAGTGCGCAAATTATCACCTTCTTATCCGCAAAAACCGGCCTATGGTTCAATGTCATCAGAGCCCGCTGAAACTAGACCTAGATCCAATTTTCCCGAGTCGAGAGTTGCTTTTCCAAGGTACCATCAGCTAAGCTAAACACCGACGAAACAATATTAATGGCTGGCACAGGATATTTTGGCCAAACCGCAGCACATACCTGTCAACACCATGCGGGAAATCACACAATCACACACTTTCGCGGCGCTGATAAGACTATCCACAACCACGCAGAATCTTCTCACGTTCAACATAAGCAAAAAATCATCGAATAACTCGGAAAAACTCAGCCTATTGGCAAATAACCACCTCTGGACTTTTCTCTTACACTCTTCTTATTCAAGTTCCCGGATGTAGAGTCACACGGTCGGCGGGGACCACCTTGGCCCGGGTCAAAGTTCACCTGCAATTTTGTGGAATGCCAAAATACCCGAAATAAACCTTCAAGTATACCAAAAAATAAACTAAAACTCGTGTAAAATACCAAAATTAAGAAATCCACGGTATACTTTAAACCCAGAATTAGTCGTGAGCTAAGTAAGGAGTACGAATCCTAGCTCGTACAGACGCCCCCTCCTCAAGAAAAAATCGGAGAGAGATATTTTTTTTTTGAGGGAGGGGAGGGGGGGGGGTGCTGTACACAGGCAATGCCCTAACTGGACATGGCTAAGGTTATCCCTGCTCAGTGTAACGGACAACAATGTTCTCTGACGAATGCTAGTATGCATTACAAATCATTAAGCAACTTCAATCTCTTCACTGGCAACTTTCGTTATGCTTGTAATCGTACCCATCATCCCATCAATAGGGACCTTAAGATACGAAGACGGGGAGCTAGGACGGCGACGAGGCTGGACGAGTAAGACTAGGTCGAGACCCCTCGTGCTCACCAAAAACAAAATACTTAAGAGCAAGTAATTTTCACTTGGGACAGCAACGGCGATATTTCTTTCACGAACACGTATGTCGACCTTTAAAGATGCTAGGACCTTTCTTTTGGAGAGTTACTTAGACGATGTGATAAACGACGATGAATTCAGTTATTCTACTATACGATGAAACCTTCTCCATCCAAGAACCCGGAATTTCCATATGAATTATTGTTATTATTATTATTATTATACTATTATTATTATTCTTACTTGCTATAATAACATCACCATACAAAAATATAGAGACAACACACTAAACTCCTCTAGTGCCACTTCAAGGCTGC